TGTGTTCTGCTGTGGATGAACATTGAATAAATATAGAAAGACAATATTCAATGTTACTTTTTCTATAACTGGTTAGAATAGAGTATCTCATATTAGCAAAACCTATGTTACAAACGTAGCTTGAAATTTTACAAAAACTAGATTTGCGCTCATTTTATTTTAAAAAGTGACAAAGATATGAAATTGCTACACATGCTTCTATGCCCCGACTGCAAACGCACTGTTTTTAGCGCATCATGTTTTGAATAGTTAGCGGAATTTTACGGCGCATATACTCTAACTTGTAAGAGAAAAAAAAAAAACATTTGCATAATTTTGCCGCTTATAAGGTTAAAAATAATGGGAAGCGCCGCCCGTTCTCTAGTACAGGCTTGAGTTCCTATGAATGTATTCTTGGAATAGGCTTCTGGGCTTAGCACCCGTGCCTCGTGGCCTGCCGTCATCTAATAAGAATTATAAATGTTTTCTCACAACACCCTTATCCATTGCTAGCAATTAAACTCACGGGCGACATCGCCACAATTGGCAGAATGCCAAAAATTTGCGAAAATTCAAGAATTAAATTACCATGTTTGAAGAATTACGTGAAAATGGCGTGATTAATCAGTGTGTATATCATCAGTGTGAATAATGAGTGCAATTCTCAGAAGATCATCAGTATGATTTAAGAAAAACAGAAAAAGAAATCGTTGTTCTGATTCTTCCAGTTGAATAGTGGTAAATTGTGAAACGTTTGGACTTTTCAGCCCGACCATGTGGATAAATTCGACTCATCGCTGGTACCGGAATCAAAGCTAAGTTCCTCTGAATCTCTTGGAAAGCACAAGAAAAAAGTAAACAAAGAGAGAGCTCCCTCCTCATAATTACTATATTAAATGAGAAAATTAAAATTGCTTTGGTGTTTGTGATTTGAATGTCGAGCGTTAAAGCCAGCAGACATTGATAAAGTATATTTCTAATGCAAACGAGAGGTATGAGTATTTTTTATCAAGGATGGAGAATATACTGTATGGTAAATGGATGTTAAAATGGTTAAAAATATTAGATCAGAGGTAATTTTGAAACCTTTAATTGTTTACTCATGTTACTGGTTAAGGTCGAAATGACTGTGAAATGTTTAGTCATTGAAGTTAATAAATTAGTTGAAACTTAATTAGTTTAATGATTTCAGAACAATAAGTTAAATGTTTGTATCATTACACGAACCTGTAAATGTGTTACGGATATTACTTTTTTGTAATTGCGTTTACCACTGTATGGTGAAATACTTGTTAATGGTTTAATATGATAAATGTACTATTCATGCTTCTGTTCCCTAATGATAGTGTTTGCTAAGTGAATAAAGGTAGTATTCGGTAGTGGGGAAGTTTTTATGTTTACCTGTAAAATCAAGTGTTTTTTACGTACTGTATGTGGCAAGCGGTAAAACGAAAATATCAGAGAATAATATGGTCCTAAAAGGAAAAATATGATGTCAGAAGAATCGGATGAAATCAGGAAGAGCATGCAATCTGAAATTAAATTAAAGGAAATGGAGCTACGGATAGAAAAGTGTAAATTGGAGGCAGATGAGGCTAAAGACCGATTAAAGAAGATGGAATTTTGGAAAAGACAGTTAAGAGGATTTTGGAAAAGACAGTTAAGAGGGAGAACATCAGATAAAAATTAAAGAGCCAGAAATGTACAGTAGAAAAACAGATAAATAAGAAAGCAAATCGGACTTAGAGGATGAAGGGATATCAAAGTCTGAGAGCAAGGAAAATGATTTTTTGAAACATTTAAAAATAATGAAAAGAGTTATGATCGACCCGAACATCGAAAGCTGAGAAATGGCCGTTCTTTCCCATTATGCTGACATGATGTTTAATCCCAATAAAATTCTTGAAGAACGTAAGGAGAACATTGTTTTGCAGAGTTTAAAAACCAAAGTTAAAAGTTTGATCGCAACTTCGGGTGAAATGGATTTAGATAACTAGATTAAGATTAAAGACACGGTATTGAAAGAATTCCAAATTGTATGTTCCATTAGAACATAAAAAGAATTAAGAAAGATGTGTTAAAAGGTATGAGAAAACGCATACTCAACACATAGCGAGGGTTGAAGCAGCACTTGATTTCTACTCAGAATCCAGAAAATTTAAGACTTTTGATAAACTAAGAAAACTTTTGATTATGGATCAGGTAAAATATCAATTACAATCAATTTTCAATATGTTAAATTGGTAAAAGATCATTTATCAATGTGTTACCTTGCGCATATTGTTAAAAGAGTTAGAAAATAATAGATAAAAGAGTTTCGATAAGAGAGAGGAAGGATATTTTCCCTCCAATCGATTGCGCTACAGCTGAAATGCCAACAGAAAGTCATTTTAAAATTCTTTTCTGCAGCTACATTTCAGAACTGCAAAATATAAATGAAATTATATGTTAAACTGAAATTAAAATGATTATTTGCAGTTAAATGCCATTGCTAAATTAGTTTTTCTTGTACTTTTAAATTAATTTATTAGTTTAAACACCATATTCAGTTATGATTTACCAATATGCTCTATTTTTAACTATAACTTTAATTATTATTGAAATTAAGGAATTAAGGAAATTATCATTGAATTAAGGAAAGCTGTAGCTATTATTGAAATTTTTCTTAGGCATATTTTCCCTTGTTGTCTGTGCTCCCAATTCGAAGTGACCGTCAGCTACATCCTTTCTGGTTTTCGTAAGTGATTTGTCGGCATTTCGCATAAAAAATCTCCAGATTAGCATTAAAACACGAATAAGGATGTTATTTTGTATATTAGATTTTTTCTCTATGTGGCCTTCATGTCAAAACTTACTAGAAATAATAAATAAGTATATAATGCTTTCCTTTCAAACGAAGTATTTTCAATATGTGTCCCATAGCAATATGCTCTGTGATTAAGATTGCTAAGAGTTTTACCCTGTTTGATTCCCCGCCAACGTGCTGGTTGCAGGGTTGGCTTCTGCAGTTTCCATTATCTCAATGCATATGAGGCAATTTCCCTTAGAACGTTCTCCGCAAAGCCGTCCTCGCGCCAGGCAGGTAACCATCCTTTTCTTTGCCCTTTTCAAATAACCTAACTTTTACTCAAACAAATCAGTCATGACATGAAATTTAGAAGAAATGAATTTGAATAATTTTTATAAAAATGTCTCGATTGGATATATACTGGAAGTTAAAGAATTTACAACCCCACAGATACACGAAAAACTAATATTAAACTGAAAGCTTTGAGACTTTGTATTACGCCGAAAGGGATCATTTTTTTCATTTGCGCACATAGACGTTTGAACAGAATTCGGGTTAATATCCCTCTGGATTAAAAATATTTAAAAACAGCGTATTTTATAAATTACAAAATGAAACTTTCATATATTTGAATAAATATTTATGAGGCATTATTAATAAAAACGAGAATAAAGGAAACACTATGAATAATCCTCAAACGTTTAGTCTGAAATTTAAAATTCAAATTAACTATCGCAAATCACTGAGTACAGGGGGTGTTCAGGTATTTTTTTAAGGATTTTGCAAGGATTTAGATATATAAACAAACCTTATAATCTCATTTTCTAATATATTCCGTCTGAGAGCCCTTTTGTTAAACCATCATATTACGTCTTGATTTCCAAGAGAAAAGCCTTTTCCTGAAAACATCAAGGTTGATTTTATGCCACTTCTCCTTCACAATGTTCCACAGTCCATCCAATGTTTGGGGATGCCACGTATAAAGAGCTTGTTTTAAAAGTACAAATGCACATTAATCCATAGGAGACACATCAGGAGATTTCGGGGATATGCATCTAGAGGGAATAGCTTTAATTCCGGTTTCATATCTCACTTTTTTCAAACCATAAAGCAGTAGATTTAGAGCAGTGTTTCTTAACCTTTTTGCCAAAACTTTAAAAATTTTAAATATGTCACGGACCCCTCTGTGAAAAAAAAATTGCTTAATCATCATTTATTACAAAATATATTCTGTTTTATTATTTAATTATTTTAATATTTTTATTTCTATAGTATAAAAAATTTGAAGAAATTAAAAATTTTAATGTGAAGGTTGTGGCTGCTTTTCCTTGATTAACAGATTGAATTGAGGGATGGTTTTCGACAAAGCAACGCGCATATCCTGTTCGACATTCAGTCTATTTCGATGTTTTGTTATTATTGTGACAAGTGTGGAAAATACCGTTTCTCAAAGATATACTGTAGCAAATGGAATAATGGCTGCCATAGTTCGTTTTACAAGCAATGGGTCGGCTTCTCTTAAAGGAGACCAAAACTCTCCAAAAATTTTATAATCGAAATCCATTTTTAACAAGAACTTTGTTTTCAAATCAATTAGCTCATCTTTGGCAAGGTTCATGTCATCGATACAGTCAATATCACAAAGAAAAGGATTACGAATCCACAGCTCATCTTTTATATTTATTCCATCCGAATTGAAATATTTTTTAAATGAAACTTGAAGTACTTCCAGGTGTTCGCAGATTTCATTTTTCAAGTTATTCAATAACAAAATATCTCTCCGAGATCCATTTTCAAAAAGCACTTCGGCCAACATTTGAAAGTTTGCATATATCCCATTTTGAATTCTAATTTTCCAAAGTGACATTTTCAATAAAAATGCCTGTAGTTTCTCAGTGGCATCCATAATTGTTGTATCAGGCCCTTGAATTGAAAGACATATATCGTACATGTGGTTAAAAATGTCTGCCAGGTAAGCCAATTTACATATAAAATCTTTTTCCTTGAAATATTCGAAGAGTTATCGTTTTCTTCTAAAAAAGTGATACTTCTGTCTTCAACATGAAAATTCGTTTCAAAACCTGCCCTCGTGACAGTCAGTGCACTTCCGTGTGGTACAGAAGTACCTCATGTTCTGCGTTCATTTCTTGACACAGTGTTTTAAAAAGACGATGATTAAGAGCTCTACTTCTAATAAAATTCACAGTTTTAATAACTATTGACAATACTTCTTTTAAGCTGGTTGGAAGAGTTTTTGTAGCCAGTGCATGTCTATGTAAAAACAATGTGTAACAATAACATTAGGAGCCTCTTTTTTTACCAAATGGGCAAAACCAGATTTATTGCCAAGCATCGCAGGTGCTCCATCCGTACAAAGTGAATGAAGTTTTTGTTTCCAGTCGAAGTCGTGTTTGGAAAAGAAAACATTTAAAATCGCTAAAACATCAACTGCCTTTGTAGTTTGCAAAAGAGGCTCACAAAATAAGAATTCTTCTTTGATAGTATCAGCAGACACGTAACGAACAAAAACAAGAAGTTGACTACAATTCGTGATTTCTGTAGTTTCATCCAGTTGCATACTAAAGGGAAATGGCGATGCTTTCAATTCATCGATGTTCTGTTTCAAGATATTGCAAGAAATTTCAACTATTCTTGAATGTATCACATCCTTGGACAATAGAATAGCCTCAAGTTTTTTTCTCTGTTCCAGTCCACAAACTAATTCAACCATTTCCAGCGCACATGGCTTAATTTATGTCTCTCCAATAATATGCGGTTTCTTACTTTTGGCAATACGATATGCAACTCTGAAAGATGCCTCAACCAAAGGTTTTTGTGAAATACCAAATCCAAGTTTGGTTAATGTTCCAGATTTCGAAAACTGGGCTTTCTTCTTTGTAAAAAATTCTAGATCTTTAGATGCATTTTCAGGATGAAGAGATTTGAGATGCTCTATCAATTTTGCCGGTTTCATACTGGCGTTTGCCAAAACTTTTCCACACAGAAAGCATTGTGGCTTTTCAACACCGTCCGATTCCTTCATGCAGCAGAATCCATATTTTACATAATTTTCATCATACTTCCTTTTTTTGGACATTTTGGGCTACAAAAAAATCAAATAATCAAATTAAGAACAAACATTAAGACACACAACACACACAAAAAAAAAAAAACACTTGAAAAAAAATACTTTAATTACAACTTATGAAAAAGTAAAACAAATATTTTGTTTTAAAAATTTGCAAGAACTTTGCGGAACTGATTTTAACGTCACTTTATTTCCAAGTGAAGTAAAATTCAAAGGCTACTTTGTGTTTCTAAAAATTTCAAATTTTATATTGTTTGCGAATGTTCTTTTCCTCGTATTGTGGAGGTCTCTATTATTGGGAAATGGCAGACAGACAGCTTACAGAGGTTGCCCGTGACGAAAAAAAGTTTTTTTTTTAAATATTGATGCAAACATTTTAAAAATTAGGAGCAGTCGGCGGACCCCCAAAGTATGACCCATGGACCCCCAAGGGGTCCATGAACCACAGGTTAAGAAACACTGTTCTAGATCAAGCATTATTGAATTACATTCACGTGCAAAAGTTTAAGACCAGTAGCCGTTTTCCTCTATTTTAACATATAGCACCATTTTCGCTCGTGATTGCGTTATCTCATATGTTGATTGCATCAGACGCTTTTACTGTTATAAATATAACGTGGTCTCGTTTATCAGAAGTTCGTTATTTGAATTTGCGTACAAGTGCTGTTGTATAATTCTTACAATGGGTAAAGAAACATTCACTTATTGTTGAAAAACGGGTAAAAACAGTGGATCTGCATGAAGTTGGCTTTCCTGAACGTGAAGTAAATTTAAAGGTAAATGTCAGAAAAACAGGCGTCCATCAATCTATCAGTAAATTCAAAATTTCGGAAAATTATACGGTTTTAAGAGAAGCGATCACCCAAAAAAAACCTTGCGCACGACGATGATCGTATGATAAGAAGGATGGTCACTTGTTTTCGAACAACCTCCTGCAAAACAATTAGAGCTACTCTAGCTGCCAGTTTGAGTACGATTCCAAGACGTTTGACTAAAGATTATGGTTTATTTTCCTGTAAACCTAGAAAGATCACTTTTTTTCCTATAAACCTGCAAGGAAACCTCGAAGTATGAAAAAGGAATGACTGGACTTTCGCTAGACAATATCAGAATTGGACCGAACAAACACTGGAGTGCAGTGTTATTTTCCGATGAGTCAAGTGTATAGCAGTTTTCTGCACGTGCTAAATGTATTCGCCGCCCATTTGGAAAAAGATATAACGAATGATATACGATTCCAACAGTGAAACACCCTCCAAGCAAGATGATATGGGATGCAATGTCTGCGTCGGGTACTGCTGCTCTATATTTCCTGCCGTCTAAAACTAAGATGAACGGCAGTTGGTACCTTAATTTGTTATGTGACAAGTTGAAGCTTCACATGGATGTTAACAGATGTTCAGTTTTCATGTATGATGTGGCTCCGTGTCACAGGGCAAGGATTGTTAAGAACTATCTGAAGGCTAATCAAATCCAAGTGCTTGATTGGCCAAGTAACAGCCCAGATTTGAATCCCATAGAAAATCCGTGGTGTATTGTGAAAAATAAAGTCACGGGGAAGCTATCATCAAGTGCTACAGAACTTGTTGAAACATTAAAGCATGTGTGGTGTGCAGAGGTTTCTTAAGCTTGCTGCCAGTCTCTTGTTCATAGCATGCCTAAAAGGATTACAGCAGTGATAACACTTTCAGAACATTTCACCAACGGGAAAAAAATCTTCTGCAAACAGACAGTGATGCTATAGTAAATCTGGTGAAAGAGGGAAGAGGGATACGACGTAAAGACACGAACTTATTGCAAAGAGTGCAATATATGCTTGTTTGCAGTACCGTGTTTCGGCCTTTTTTGGTTGACTGTAAAAGATTTGTGAAATTTGATTATTCAAATTCCCACTGTTGTAATATCGGTTTACATTAAATTTAGCTTCAAAGTTTTGTTTAATTTGCTGTAATTCAATGCCATATGTCTGTAATCCATTATTTTTTATGTGTATGTCAAATTAGCAAATATAGTACTTATTGCACTTAACTCTTTTTTTTTTCACTAAGTAACCATTTTCTGATTTTTAAATTGATATAAGGAACCAAATCAATGTGTCAAAAATATTTTCCATATTCGATACATTTTTCTGACATATGACGCACAGTTAAGGTGTTAAAATTAATTTAGAAATTGAGTTCATACTTATTAAAAAAAAATTCTAAGCAATTTGTTAGTAGTTTTTTCATATAGTCTTACGCTATATAAAATTTAGAATTTGAAAAAAATTAAAATTTAGAATTGTTTTAAAATCAGATGATTGCTAATGCAAACAAATGTTCACCTTTGCCCTGATACGTACAATTTGCTTTCAGGTGAAAATTCAGTTTAAAATACAATGTCGGAATAAAATTGGGTAAACCTACCTGATGAGATGTACTACGCACAACTCGTTAGTCGGTTTCGTCTCCTTTAATTTCTCAACGTTTGCAAATTTCTAGGTAATTCATATGTAAATATAGCGAAATGCATAATAAGCAACAATTGTATGAATTAAAAATATTTAAATGTTCTTAAGTACCATGATAATTTAATTAAAACGATGATAACTGCATGTATGGTATCGGTGTATATGGACTATTTGAATGCCGTGGCAACTTCAGCCCATTGGCTAGTGCAGTTACGCAAGCAACCAGTAAACTATCGGCGACAAACAGACACTTAAGCACCGTATAATAAAGAAAATTATATTATATTACCTTTTGCATAATGTCAGAAGAAGTGCCTCAAGAGACGAAACACTGCCCTAAAAATAAGATGGCAGGGGCAAGTCCGTTTAATATTGAGGTAAATGGCTATCCCGCTAATTTGGCGAAGTTAGCGAAGATGGAAACTAATTTTTTCAACCGGATTCGGCGCGAAATCTCTAAAAGTTTCAACCTGAAGATCTATTTGGTTATATTTTAGTCCAGTTTACGATAAATATGGTTACTTGCCTGTAAAGCTCATAGTCCCTTGTTCCCTCACTTCAGCGCTGTTGTGGGTGATATTGTAGGTCTTGGATACGATACCAAAAAGATCTGATATCACAAAGAAAGAAATGTTTATGGATGTACTTCGATATGATAACATGAAAAGAGTTTTAAAATCTGCATAAAGGAAAGACCTGGAAACCTGAGAATGCAGATATGGTTACTGTTATTTACTAGTTTTTCTCTCGGCAAGCCTTTTCCAAATTCTGGATAAAGCCACGTCACTTAATTCGCACATTAAAGCGTTTCATTGATAAGCTCTCTTCTTTAAACTTGGATTTATGTCAACCATCATGGAACTTTATTCTGCATATAAGCTCCATGCCAATCGGCATAT